ACAAATAACTTCCCAAATGCTATTGCTCTATTCATGCACACTCAACATGCACATAAACGGCCTTGCTAGAACAGTTATGGTCTCTAGTATTTCTTTGATTTCTGTTAATTTCAGTCTCATTTCAGGTCATTCTTGTATGAGTAGCATTTGATTACAGTAAGACCCGATCTGTCCTACAGTATCTTCAGCCAGTGAACATGAGCAGTATATGGCTTTCAGTCTACAGATGGATTGGTTCCATTGGATGGTGGGTTTTATTAGCAAATGGTAAGACTGAGCCAAAGTCACTGCTAACTACTGAGATGTGATGAAACTTGTGCTTTTTTGGCCAGAGAGACCAAAACGTTAGTATTAAATGTTGTGTGAACAGGGGAGATATACATAGATGGGTGTATTAAATTAAGGTTGTGTTTTGTCAGTATGTCTACTTTAAAGCTTACAGACCAAACCATCGCTGGCAGCTTTTTTTCTCACTACACCCTTATTGGTGTTGGCATTCCTTTTTTTACATAAAGCAGTTCATTATGCAAAAATAAAACAAAAAGAGGTTAAGTAAATGTTAGGTTTGTTGATAGCGTGTCCATTTTCGAATCAGATGTGCAAATGTGGAGAAAACTTGAACACCAGCTGCTCTGTGTTTGTGAGCCGGTAGCTTTGTGGCTATTTAAGTTAGCTCTCGAAAACGATGGTTTGTAAAGATATTATTTCCTGTGTTTGACGTCGACTCAAAACTGAGTGATAAAAAGTGATGCTGCTTTGCAAGTAACGGCGTTTAACAAGCAGTAGAAATTTGGTTTCAGTATACAAGTCCTTACAAAGGCAGGCTTCTGTAAACGTTATCCAGTTTCTCTTTTCTCTGTTCCAACCGCCATGACCCAGAGCACCACCACAGCGGTATTCTGGTTACGTTCTGGTTTGCGCGCACACTCCCTGCTGACGTGTTGAGTAATCTGCAGGCAGACATTGCTTCCGATCGCTGCTCCTGCCCGCACACACCCGTACCCTCGCACGGGTGATACCCCGCTGCAGACAGGCGAGGAAGAAGCACCCCGGTGCCTACGTGGAATGCATTGTTTTTCATTACGAAATGAGCAGGGGGTCTCAGGACAGTGCATCCGCACAACCGGGCTGTGTGCAGCAGGTGAGGTATGCCTCACGCTGGTCATTGTGGATGATGAGGGTGGCCACATGGGACTGTGTCATGTGGCGGGTAACTGACGGATTGCGGCTTTAGTTTAGTGCTCATTATGCCGATCGCAAAATGCCCCGCTTTTAGGTAAAATTTCCTTTAGAGCCCTTGGTGGAAACTGAGCAGCCTGATTTTACAAAATTACTGAGATCACTTGTATATAGTGTATATATATATTGTATTTAGTAGACGAGGGCAGGAATGTTAGTGTGGGACTACTGGATCCAAGGGGTATGTTTTTCTAGTTATTACAAAAACAAAGCTGTGGATTCAGGAACACAGAAATTCACTCCTGCTACCTTGTGCCCTCCAGGAAGATATGGGCCGTGTTTAATATCCAACACTACACAGCATCGCCGTTTGCTGTTTGATCTCGACTGTAGTCTCGACAACATCCCATGATTTTCCTACTGCCTCTGGGAATATTGGAAATGTGCCAGTGAATTTTTTAAACATCACTAGCGACCTGTTTTAGGGTTTTTTATGCTGTTCGAAAAAACAGTCCGTCTTGACAGTGATGAATTAAACTTTCTATAGTGTCCTATAGTGATGCCACATCCATGCTGGCACATTTCTGCCCATTATTCAGAGCAGGAGCAGGAGCAGAAGAGGTATACCAGAGTCCCCAACACTGCTCAGTACTCTGTTCTCTTGCCTTACTTTAGATAGCTTCCATGCCCTCTCTCAGCACTTCACTTAGATTCACAGGAATGTGATACTGATACCAATGCAGTAAAAATTTAATAGGAGATCTTTGTTTTGCATGGTGTGATTTCTTGTGCAAATGCATGGAGTCTTGTTACTTTTAATTAACGAACTCAAATTAGCTCTAGTTTCAATAAAATAACGAGGTGAAATGCTTCCTTCAGGTATCCCATTTCTCAAAGGAATCTACTTCCTCTGAAACAGATGTTGTGAGGTACAGTACTTGGGATTCTTCTATTTTTCATAGCTGTTTTATATATCTTATCATTTATAACAGTATCAATGACATCATTAACATTGTTCCATAAAAAATTAAGCAATACAGGTTATTCTCCTTATAGATCTTGAGCGTAAATATGTAAAATATTCTGTAAATAAATATAAAGTAACAATAAATGTATAAAGTAACATCCCCTTGCATATCCTTAGCTCTTTCATGAATTGTAGAACTGAGTGTAAGAAAGCATTTTAATAGATTATGAAAAAAGCAATGGCAGTTAGTTCTCTTATATTCATAATGCAACGACTGAATAATTATTAAAGAAAAGCAAACTTCATAGGAATGAGTCCAAAGCAGTATGAATGCTCCAGCACCAGATATGTTCCATGCTTCCTGAGGATTGCGTTTTAGTGCTTTGATAAAAGAAATAAGGCTGATGTAAATAACTCGTAAGGAGCTTGATTTCTGGTGGACAAGTCTTTGATGCATCACGAGAGGGAACAACAGACCAGGCTAATACATAAAAATTGAACCGAATCAAACAGCGGCTGATGAAGACCACTGAGGTTTGCCACATCTCCACAGCTCTGAAAATCAAAAGAAATTAGATTTGTAATTGAAATGGTCATATTTTACAGCTATAGTAGATGCTGAAGGTTGACCACTCTTCTGGTAAGGTGTAAATTCTAATATTTAGTAGGGTGCTATGTACATGAGAGGATCGGGAAATATGCAAATGAGAGGTAGCCTTCTGGTCTTGGCTTTTGGCTCCAATCTTAATTATTTGGGAGCTGAATGCGTCTGAAATTTTCTTCAGTCTTGTGGCACATCCCGAAGTTTGGGCTTCAACCACTTGAGTGGAAAGCCTGTTCCAGATGCACACAACGTAGTGGAAAAATAATTACAAACACATCTCTTTTTATTTTCAAATTGTAATCCTGTGCCCTTGTTTCACATCTGAGGATGACATAGTCTGCTGGGGTAACCTTACCTTGTACCCATTAGGATAGTATGTACTTGGATATGATTGCCTCTCTTCTAGACTGAAGAGATTTAGCTCACTTAATATGCCTGTACAGTATATAACCATCTCCTTACACCAGGATGTCAGTTGCATGCTCTTGTTTGAAATCGTTCAGTGTCTTAGTCTATTATGATGACTAAAACTGATCACAATATTCTAAATGAGGTCTTACGAGTGCATTGTAAATCTTGTCCCTCTAACTTCCCTTGAAGTCCTTTAAATTACTTTACCAGTCATGAATATTGCAGCTTACAATAATTTTGAATTTACAGTATACAACAAAAGCTCTATTACACAGATGGTCCATTTCAGACAAAACTTCACACCCTTTTAATAAAACACAAAAAGGTTATTTTTGTAAAGAGATATTTTCCTCAATGTTAAAGCAAACACATCCTTAACACTTTATTTTAAAGAGCCAGAAAATATCTCAAAATCTTTCACTTAAAACCTCTACTTTCGTGGATAAGAGTTACTGTCCATTGGAATTTTCTACTATATATTTTTAAAATCAGGCAACGATTTTTTTGTTTGTTGGAGACTCAGATTTTTTAATTAAAAATGGTCTCTACAGTACAAACCCCAACCTCCTTGAACAAAACACTTATGTAATGACAAGTGTAAAAAAAATAAATTTCGGTGGCAAAATTGGTCTCTGCCTCTGATTAGTATACTCTGGTTTAATGTGAAAATGGAAATTGGGACCAAGTCATTGTTCCACTCAAAGCTCTGCTTAAAGTTTCTCTGCAGCTCTTCACAAATTAACTTTGTTGTGGTCAGAGAGGTAACTTTAATGGTAAAGATTCAGACTTGGGGTGCAGCTGTGTATCAGAACACTGGGGAAAGTTAACTTCAAGGAAAATCTCACCACATTTCTGAGATACAAAAAAAAAAAACAACCAAGAAATTCGCCAGTTGCCATAGAAGGCAGCAAAACAGGAAATTTCTAGTTTCCTCTGCTGCTTTAAGACACATATTGCACCACATTCTACAAGCACACAACACCAAGCGCTCACACTCAGCTCCCTGATCAAAACCGCACACTGACCGATCAGCCAGCCAGGAGGTTGGGGGGGGTCATGATCTGAGCTGGGCTTCTCCTTTCAGCCCTCTATTTCAGTGACTGTGTTTGGAAACTACAGTACATCTCCCCACAGTGTCTCCCAACACCACCATGAACTCAGGGGTCTGTTCCAACCACAGCAGAATCAGCAATCTGAAAGTCGCTGCTGCTTTGAAATGCATTGAAAGCACACCCGTGTTCTGAGACTTCAATGACCAACAGCAGTTACCACCCCCTAGTGCAGAAATAAATCTGCCGATGTATTTGGGGGAATCTGCCATGCATATTATTTTAAAGGACAGCAGTAAAACAGGACAAAAAAATCCTAAATAGATTTTAGAATACTGATGTAATATTTTTTGAATTAGTGTGAAGAGTTCATATTAGGCTCAAGGGTTTGGTTTAATATAAGGATGTGGATTAGGAATGCCGAAGAAGGTGATTTTTTGTGTAGAATATTTGTGCCTAATAGCAAGTTAAAGGAGTAGTCAGTTATTTTCACTTTTTTTAATGATGTGTTATCCATTTATTGGTTTTGTTTTTGAATTTGCACATTTTAACTCCTGCTTCTGTTTTCAGCAGAAAGGTACAGTTTTTGCTGTGGTCACATATCCGATTCTGTCCTGTTTTCATCTTTTCTATTGTTTACCAAAGCAATGAGGATTTAAGTGCTCTCCTGCTAAGCCAAGTATGATTCAGCAGAATCTTGTCTTAGCACTAACAGCCTGGCAGTCTGCACTGCAGTGTAGCTCTCAATTGAGCGCACTGTTATGGAAGACACACTCAAAGCAGGCAAAGGTTTTATGCGGAACTATAACTTTTATTTATTTCTTTCATAAGCAGCGGCAGGTATTTAATGCTAATACGGCGTGGGTCTCCAGCACCTCTCCTTGATCACCTTGGGCAACAATGTGGGCTTGAAGGAGAGATAAAAGACAGTGCAGATGCCCAGGAGAGAGAGGCACACTGGGAGAAAAAGCAGGATGTATACCCAAGTGGGTTCTTCACTGTTATTTCCACACATGTGAGGGTCAAGGTGTTCCACCTTGTGTATCTGTGGTGTGGAATGAAGGCATGACACCTCTGTCCTGTCCTCAATGTTTATGCCCCCTGTTTCCTGAAATATAGTCCACCAGGCCAGATGGCAGCAGTTGAAGGGGTTCCCACCAAGGAGAAGAGTCTGTACTGTGTGGCTTAATGTTCTTGCCTGGTCAACAGGGATTGTGGACAACTTGTTGTCTCTCAAGTTCAACCACTTAAGACTGAGTCTCAGTATGGAGTCTGGGAGGTGATTCAGGACATTTCTGGATATATCTAGGGACCTTAGGTTTCTGCATGGGGTGAAGTCAAGATGTTTCATCTTGGTGTTTCCAAGGCCCAAATGTTGCACAGTTGTACTGAGCTCTAACAAAGTATCCTGTTCAAGTAGGAATTCTGGGTTGTTTGAAAGCTCCAAATGTGTTATTGGCGTCTTCTGAAAAGCCCATGGCGGGATCTTTTGCAAGTCACACTCTAACAAGTAGAGATGGCGCAGCGAACTGAGATTTCTCCACACAGCACAGTCGGAGTAGTCTGTGCTCTCTTTCTCCATGGAGCAGATGCCAACTTTATTATAACTGAGGTCCACAGTGGTGAGGCTGCGCAGACCAGTAAACACCCTGGGAGGGATTCTTTGTAAATGGTTAGAGCTGAGGTTGAGGTGTGTCAGGTTGGGCAGCACATGCAGGAAACTTTGGTTGGCACGGAGCTCTGTCAACAAGTTGTTGCTTAGGTCCAGCTCATAAAGAGAAGCTGGGATCTCCTCAGAAGTTAAATCCCAGGATTCCAAACAGTTCTTTCCTAGCCTAAGCCTTGACAAAGAAGGCATTTTATTCAAGAAACCGGGGGGCAGGTACCGCACTTGGTTTCGGCTCAAGTCCAGCAAGTCCAGTGATGAGGTTACGCTATAAAAGCTTTCATCCCACAGCTTGGCTGTGGTAACATTAGTGACATTGCTGTTCAAATTATAAAACTGAACAGTGGTGGGCCAGTCTAGAGAGTTATTGTTTGTGAGGTGTTCATAAAAACTCAACATATTGTTGGACAGCATCAAATTCCGAAGGCGACTGCGGTTTGGAAGAAAAGGGAAGAAAAACAACTTGTTATCCGAAAGGTCTAAAGTCTCCAGTTGGAAGATTTCATCCATGTCTGGGATGGAAATGAACCACTCAATGGAATTGTGGCTGAGATTCAGCACCACTAGCTGCGTGAGCCCGAAGTTGGCAATGCAAGGCAGGAGGTTGAAGGCCATGTTGAGCCTCTGCAGCTTCTGCAAGCTGTGGAAGGCTCCGTCCTCGATCTCAAAAAGCATGTTCCTCTCCAGGTTCAACTCTCGCAGCTGATGAAGGCTGCTGAATATGGACTGGTCAAGCCTCAGAAGGAGGTTTCTGGAGAGGGACAGGTACTCAAGTGAGGTTAGATTTTGTAGAAGGAAAGATGCCATGTCTTCAGTCAGACCATTCTGAGTAAGATCCAGGATTCTCAATCCAGACAAGAGCCGGAGAGCTTGGCCTGTCTGCTGGAAGCCTGAACGAAGGTTGTTTTTGGCAAAGTTGAGGTTTTCTATGCGAGAAGCACTGGTGAAGACTCCTGGCTCAACAGCCTCCAAACTGCTTCTGGCGCAGCTCAGGATCTTGAGGTGAGTATAAGGCGTCAGTGTGTTGTTCCTCAGCACACTGATGTGGTTGTCGTTCAACCGAAGCTCCTCGATGTTCTCTGGAAGGTCTAGGGGTACACCTGACGACTGACAGCCACTGCACACCGCGGTCCGCTGCACCTGATCAGAGACAGAAGGGTTACAGAGCCATTTCTTACAAGATTAAAATACAGTTATCAAAACTAGAAAAATAACACTTGTGTCAGTTCATTTGCTTTGGTGAGTAATACAATAGTAAACTGTATCACAAGAAACCACAACAAAGTCGGGCACAGAAAAAATGATCACACTGTAGCTAAGAAAGTAAACCAAATTGTTCTCTCTAACTGCAAAAATGTTCACAGTGGGAAATTTTTGAAAACTCAAAGTTTCTAAAATACATCTTGTGATGTTAACAGAGCTGATATGACCAATATCACATGCAAATACAAATCAATTGACCAGTGAAATGTATTAATTTCCCCAAACCCAATAATCCTAATTAAGGTTTATAATTATGTTTATTACAACAAGTTCTATAATAGTGCTTAAGTCATGCTAATTCTTTGGACGCTGGTGTAGTTTTTTATGTCCATGATTGTGCAATGCAACTAAAAGATGGTTTTAGCAAAATTACATTTTTTTGATAGACAACCTGAAGTGTTTACATGCATATTTCTCCTAAAGAAATGCAGCAAATTCAGCCCTTTTAAAAGGCTAATTAAAAATATATATTTTGAGTTACTTAAGTTTCACAAAACTTCAAAACATTAAGAGAAGCTTCTGGTAGTCTCTTGATTGCCAATTGGTATGAAAGGAGGCCGAATACAGAAGCAAAACACTCATAATTGCGTCACCTTGGGGAAAGTCAGAGAACTGGCCAAAGATCTGAGAAACAAGATTGAGTGACGACTATCAGAAATCCACAAGACATCTCACGTTTAACTGTGGGCCCATCATCTAGAAGTTTAAGGTTAAGGGGATATTGCTGATGAGAAGACTTTATTCCCAAGTGAAATGGGGAGGAATATTTCGCCGTCGTTGGATGAAACAATGAAGCACCAACTGAGTTTTTGGACAGATTCATCAGTGGTATGTTTTACACAGAAACGTAATTTCTTTGTAGTTTGGAGATGGGCCTGTTTTTCATCCATCTGGTCCTGGCCACCTTGTCAGAATTGATTGTGAATTCTAAAGTGTATCAGGTTGTATCCAAACACCTGGTTCCCTCTGCTAAGAAGCTGAAGCTTAGCTGAACTGATGTTTTCAGTATTTACTGAAGCACACCTCCAAACCTATAGCCTAAATGTTAAGGGAGGATAAGATCTGTCTTCTTGATTGGTTGTCACAACCACCAGATCTAAATGGTTAACACTCCCTACTGAGAACTTATTAAAAGACCACTGAAAAGCACCTATTTTATCAAAAATAATGAGCATCAACATGGTACTGATTATATGTGAATAATTTGGAACATTGTGTATTTGGAAAACAAAGGCAATTATTGTGATCAGATATGTTTTTACAGCATACAGTCATTTTTTTAATCAGGTTTTGTTCCCTCAACATTTGCGTTTTTTCTCACACCAAAACTTCCAGTTACCGTGTTGTCATTGTACCAGGGGTATGAATACATTTGTAACCACTTGTAGTGTACTGTCAAGGATGCAAAACAACAAAGTAAAATGTCGTGATAATTTGTCATTTATAACCTCTGCTGAAACTTTCTAACAGTTTTCTATAATTAAATTTAGGCGTGTATTTATTCTCACATTTGCAAGGGTGCTGCTGTGGTTAGCTGTGTCTCTTCCCGTTTATTAAGACACATCACGCGACAACGTTCTGGTAAATGCTAACACCTAGAGCAGTTTTCACACCACAACTCTACGTTTAGAAGAGAGCCCTGGCCTGGAGAGCACCCCTCTCTGGTTTCACACCTCTGTAGAAGCTGCCTTTGCCTGCTTTAATCTCATTACCTATAGCTAGGGTCTCACGTCTTCACACTCTGTACACTTCTTTGGCTTCTATTGTGTATTTATCCGTTCATACAGTACCTGTTGCTGGTTGATGGTGTGGGTAAAGCACATTAACTCACTTTCTGAAAGCGAGGAATAGAACATCTGTCTCTGTGTCCCATGAGGCAGTGCGTGACCAGAGTTGAAGGATTAAACAAGGCCAGTGGTGTCAGAATCTCAGGATTTTATCTTTAATTTGCATATATGAGGGTCACAAACGCATCTTGTATTTCAGGAAAGTGTGAGTTTTATCTGCCGTTATCAACTGGATTCATAAAGCCAATTATTGTTTAAACAAAAAAAAATAGGTTTGCCTATTATTTGTCATACCCACCCGCCTTGGAAACGCCAATTTTGTGATTTTTGTTACCTCTTGTCTGGCAAATAGGAACTCCGTGACTGCACACACGAAAACACGTAGGCAGACTCCTACACTTTTTCATCTGGTTAAGGCAGAAACTGATCTTGGTTTAAAAATATGCTCTAGCTTCAAACATTGGATTTGCCTGTATCTTATGATCAATTAATTTCTCCTTACATATTTATTCCTAAAGTTACAAAACTAAAAGAAAGGCCAAACTGCAATGAGCCTTAGTCTGTGTAGGACTGTGTAGGAGGCTACTGCTTTAGGACATTTCCCCACTTCATTCTTCTTTTCTGTTCCTCCTGTTGTCATGAAGTGCCTTTGAATCTCTTTTGTTAACATTTCATTGTTCACATTTCTCCATTTTCTAGAGGCATCCTACACTCATCTGAGACCTCCGAGCTTCTCTGATTTTGTTTTCAGTTAGATTCCTGACTTTGCACAAGGTACAATGCACAAATCTTCAGCAGTGGGCTTCAGAGTTTTTATTCAGTTCCCCTCAGACAATTCCCCCTGGCTGCCCTTTAAGACATTTGGCTAGTTTTGTTGCTAGCATGTTTAATTAATCAATATTCAGAAACCCAATAAGTAAATAAAAAGAAAACATAAGAAATTGAACATTTTATACTTCTCACTACAGTTTGCAATGTGCCACTGCCACTGATAATATAATGAGGCACTACAAACCTTGCAGCATAAATGTAGAGCTTGTCACACTTCAGAAAAAAATGAAATGACCTTAATGAGTATAGTTAGTTTTCTTCTTTCTTTCAAATTTGCAATTGTCAATTGTATGTTCGGCTCCAATTTGGAACTGACAGTTATTATATCGCCTGACATGCCACTCCAAAACCTGTACAAGCTCAAAAGGGTTAGGATTCACATCATCAAGCCACCTAATTCTTATTACACTGCAGCGCAAAACACAAGCCAGTCTGGTTTCCATTTTAGCAAAGGTTTCACGGCTGGTACTACCTTCTCATCCAGTCCCAGCTATTCCTGTAAAGTACAGTACATTAAATCAGCTTAAAAAGGATCTCCTGTCTCCTGAGAGGAAGTTATTTACTGAATGAGCCTTGTTGAAGCACTAATGATGTTCTTTAATAATAATAATAATAATAATAATAATTAATAATTGCTTACACTTATATAGCTCTTTTCTGGACACTCCACTCAAAGCGCTTTACAGGTAATGGGGACTCTCCTCCACCACCACCAATGTGCAGTATCCACTTGGATGATGCAACGGCAGCCATAGTTCGCCAGTACGCTCACCACACATCAGCTATCAGTGGGGAGGAGAGCAGAGTAATGAAGCCAATTCAGAGATGGGGATTATTAGGAGGCCATGATTGGTAAAGGCTAATTGGAAATTTGGGCCAGGATGCCGGGGTTACACCCCTACTGTTTTCGAGAAATGCCCTGGGATTTTTAATGACCACAGAGAGTCAGGACCTCGGTTTTACGTCTCATCCGAAGGATGGCGCCTTTTTTTACAGTATAGTGTCCCCGTAACTATACTGGGGCATTCAGACCCCCACAGACCGCAGGGTGAGTGCCCCCTGCTGGCCCCACTAACACCTCTTCCGGCAGCAACCTTAGTTTTCCAGGTACTGACCAGGCTCACACCTGCTGAGCTTCAGTGGGTTGCCAGTTGTGAGTTGCAGGGTGAAATGGCTGCTGGACACATTCCAAAAATGTCCCTCCTACGAATTAGAGTGATAAACTTGGCTTTTCTTAATATGCATTGTAATCCTACACATTATGAAATCCATCCATTCTTTTTCTAATTGCTTTATCCAGCATAGGGTTGCAGGGGATCCAGAGCCTATCCTATCGAGTAACTGGACAGGATACCAGAGCACACACAGACCCAAACACGCAAAGTCACACCAGGGACCTCACCGTTGTGAGGCAAGAATGCTAACCACTGTGCCACCACACTTTACATTACATTGTTCTGTTCGAAATAACAGAAGTCACTATCACAGACACAAACCCCATTGATCACAGATACAAACCCACTGCAACTTTCTCTTGAATTCAGTACATATATTTGAGGATTGACCCATCACTTTTCAGCCACTATCATACTTTACCCAGAACTTAGTGCCTCCTGAGAAGGTGGCTAGGTACATACCAGTTTGCAGCAGACATGATGGGGATAAATGGAAGCTGAGGTCAGTATGTTCCAGTGTTGACCGAGAGTGAGACACAGCAGGCAGAGTATGTAGTGCAGAACCGGCATCTTAGAACCATCACTGTGGATAGAAAGAGAGAGCTCTGAGTGAGGACACAGAAAGCTGGTAATTCAATAATAATAATAATAATTGCTTACACTTATATAGCGCTTTTCTGGACACTCCACTCAAAGCGCTTTACAGGTAATGGGGATCCCCTCCACCACCACCAATGTGCAGCATCCACCTGGATGATGCGACGGCAGCCATAGTGCGCCAGAACGCTCACCACACATCAGCTATCAGTGGGGAGGAGAGCAGAGTAATGTAGCCAGTTTATAGAGGGCTACATTACATACTGGGCTGCCAATAGAGCTGGCAGCCCAGTATGTGATCTCCTGTCATAGCCTTGGGGGCAGACAGTGAGCACAGTAATAAAGTCTCATCATTATGTTTTATATGATTTCTGTTAATTCCTCCTTCTTAGTAATTTACTCATCATGCCAATAAAGCTCTGTGAATTTGAGAGAGAGCTCTGAGTGAGGACATACAGAGAAAGAGCTCTGAGTGAAGATGCAGAGGGAGAGAAATCTGAGGAAGGACACAGAGAGAGATTTCTGATTGCGCTCCAGAACACTACAAAAGGAACTGAGGAAGCCTGTTAAGAACTGGTGCATAGGCACCCACACCAACAGAAAAATCTAGTAGGCAGGGTGATGGGACTTTGAGTTCTTCTCAGCATTCCAGTCACTTCAGGATGATTCTTTTTGCTAATGCACTACTTAAATAGAATGTCCTTCCTCAGCACCGAGCTAATCTTACTGTTGTTCTCATCTGTCTATGCCCTTGTTTGACATTAAAAGCAAAAACTTTATGGAAAGGTTCAGTAACACAGAGGAATTAACACTTTATGAAGTCCTAACAAAGTGTTAACAAAATTACAATAGAAAGTCGTAAAGTTATTTTTTTTATTTGTTTATCTTACCAGATAATTCAATTTAAAATAAATTACACTCACACGGAGAGCCATGTATACAGCAGTGCCTTTACTGAAGTGACTGGAATTAAATATTTTATGCAGGGTAACAAAATGTGAATCCAGGAAAATATGAACTGAAGATATGGGGAATGTTAATATGGAAAACTTTCAGACTCCTATATATGAGTCATCACATTATACAGCATATTCCACTGATGCAGAATAACTTATGCCTGACTAACAAAACGTTTCTATCCACTGAGGCACTCAATAATTTTTTATTTTTTTAAAAATCATTTGGATGAAAGGGCTGCTAGCTGACTCACAGAATATGATCACTAAGTAAGATCTATAAACTCCTCACTGTAAAACAAGGCACACAGAATTTATCAGAAGCAACTAAAGTTAAAGTTAAAGATAATTTATCTTACAGAAGAATGCTGCTCCTTACATGCAGGTATAGAGATGCTGTCAAAATAAAAAAGGAATGCTGTATCAGCAATATTTAGCTTAGTGTGCTGTGATGTAAGGATGAGTGTTTGCCTAGTTATTTGCTAAGGAACAAGTAATAGGTTTATTCCATGCTGAAAAGAGCAGAAAGAAAACACAACATTTTGGCCATGGAGCCTTCAGGTGTGAGGGCTTCTGAGGCGTGTCAGCTTCCACGGCCGAAACGTTGTGTTTTTTTTCTTCTCTTTTCAGCATGGAATAAATCTCTTTCTTTTTTTCCTTTGCAGCCTACACATGCTGACGCAGTTACCCACCTGAACTAGTTATTTGCTAGCCTAATACAGAGTTTTACATAATGAAGTAAGTAGCCTACCAGAGTCTGCATGTTATAATAAAGATCAGTGTCTCTAAATAGGTCTCAGGGCTGTTCATTGTCTTCTGTAACAGCATTACGTGCATGAAAACTATGCTGCATTCCTGTAGTTTTAAAATGAAGGTGTAAATTTGGCAAACGTTACCAAAATTACTGTATTATTTGCTGCTTTAAAAATGCATGCATATGTCAAGTGAAACTTAGCACGTAATGAATGAAAATAGACTACTTTTTCCAAATTGTTTTGCTTTTAATACTTTATGATACTCAACATGTTTAAGTGGAAAATACAGGGGCCGGGAGCAATTTTTTTTCATCAGCTGCACATATACACCATCCAAGTAATGAGAAATTCAGCTTGAAGTAAAACATTTTTCTTTAATTCTGTACAAACATTTCACTAACACCGTACATTATGCATTTTAATTGCAAATATATTTCTGTCACTATGTGGCTGTACGTAGTATATGGAAAGCCTTAATGTTACCTACAGCAGAGTGACAAAACTTTACTAGAATCATCCACTTTTATGAAAAAAAAGATTGTATAAAAAGGAACTATATAAATAAGCTTATCAACCCCAGATAAGATTAAAAGTATTTCCTTAAGTAGATACCTTATGTAAATTTCCTTATGTAGAAACTGAATAATACTTGAACAAAACAATCTGTAAACAATTACAGTTGAGGCACTGCACATTTTTATTTCTATAGCTTTAGTACATGTTAAGAGGAAAAATTGATCCCCTTGAGAAATATTGCATTGAGAAATGTAACTAAATTCAAGAAAAAATAAAATGTAAAAATTCTACCAAACTGAAATTCCACCTGGAATACTGAAAGTAATCTATTTTATTACTTTCAGTAAAGTAACAGATTGTAATGTACACCATAGACTGCATAAAACAAGAGCAACTGATATTGGTAAAATGTTTGTTAAATTGTATTGTTTTTTTTTTCAATAAAGGTTTTTGTTTAACATTTAAGTATTACTTTTAAAGTTAAAAATCTTTCCTGTCAGCCATAAATATAGAACCCGATACAAGTCTGGACCTAACTTTCCCTGGGGGCTATCTGCCCTTCACATACAGTAGCAGATGGATCAGAATTAAATGTGAAATGTGAAAACTGTGAAATGTGCCCACAATGGAAAATCCGATTCATTATTGTTCAAGACTACTGCTATTCAAATCATGTCTGGGAATTTGGAAAAAAAATCAGTTTTTAATAACTATCAGGATATAAATTACAATACAAATATATTATATATATGACACAATTTTGTATTGCACAGAAAAAAAATATTTTAATCTAAACATTTTAAAATGGATCTGATCAAACACTTCTATTTTCTACTTTCATTTGCATGTCTGCACCTGTATTTTTCATTTTTTATCTTAGTTATTCAAGTGAGTTGAAACACCTCACATTCCCTTTTCTACCAAAGCTGGACAGAAGAAAAAAGCTTTTAATATCTTTCATGTGCTGACACAAAAAAAAAAATCAGCATTTTTCTTAAATTACATTTAATGTAAACATCTTTCAGTGCTCATTTTGCTGCATTTTAAAAATACGCTCTATATACTATATAACAGAGTGCACTCAAGAAATTTCTTTTTTTCGCACTGAGAGGAACATTAATTTTAATAATGTAACTTTGAACTGCCGTCTAGAACTATAGTGCTGTGATGAATTTAATAATTATATGGAAGCACTTCTTCCACACTGGGTTCAGATCTCTGTAAAGACACCAGCAGTGCCATATGAAGCTAATTTATCTGTAAAATTGTAATTTATCTGTACAATTTATCTGTATTTTGTAAACGTCACATTCTTGCTGACACCAGTTCAAACTGAAATTAAAAACAGTAAGAATCATAATATAATTCTGTTTCTCTGTATTGATTCATAAATATATGATGTATTACAGTACAATGCTACATCTTTATATATAATGTATGTAATCAATTCCAGCAAAAATGCAGAAACAGCTTTTGGAAATGTGCTTCTTCTCTTGTCAGCCGAAGGCAACATTTATCTTGAAGAACTTTTGTGTTGTGCTAATGGGTTCAAATATTCCTTTTTGCAGGAAAATCAAAATCTGACACAATCTGGAGCTGCAAAGGCTGAAAAATATCCAAATATGGGGTTGTTCTTTTTGTGTTTAATATTGCAGATTCATTACTGCCATACCTCTACTCTAACCCATCTAGCCTGGGCTGAAAATACATGGGTGTCCCACTTCTCAGTTCCTCTTTCTACCTGACTGAGTGCTGAGCTTTGTTTTTTCCATTTGACTCTTTCTGAGACGGAGAACCCCGTGGAATAACTCTATAGCCTGTCTGGTGTAAATACCATGCTGAAAACACAGTACTCTGTTTTGGAAGTTTTGAAACAGATGTGACATTAAAGTTATAGACATATTTCTAGACGTTTTGGTGAGAGGTTTACATAGCTCAATTTATACTTCAATGCATATATACGGTGTAAGGTTTATAAATGTCTTAAACTTAAACTTAAACAAACAATTTTTGCAAGTATTTAGTCTTTGTAAATAGGGAAACAAAAAAAAATGTTTTTGTCCTGACAAAGAAAACAAAGATAATCCTAATACTATATTAAAAACATTACAACAATTAGGATATTTATAAAAAAACTTGTGGAGTGGTGTTTTTGAAAGTTCTTCAGTGCCAAGTTGTTACACTTTGTTAAAATTTTGAGCAACTTCTCTAGTGCAGAAACTGCAATTTGCAATCAGATTCAGACTGAGATTTTTTTTACTGGGTGATTAAAAAAAACTCAATTTCATTGTTCTTGAATCATTCAAAAGTAGATTTGAATGTGTTTGAAACATCTAGTTGAGCTTTAAACCAACTTTTGCCACAGTTGGTTTCAGATGCTGGACCAGTGTTTTTGGCAATGTATGCTATGGTACCCATCTAACCATGTGCATCAGGGCTCTGTTGGGCATTTGGTGTCTATTGGTTTTCAGTCCAGATTAGCTTTAAGCAATTTGTTAACAACTCATACTAGGCTATTTGTACCAACCTAACTGCTTCTTCCCGCTTTTCAGGTGCTGGTGCTTAAAAGAGACCTAAACGTCCTTGGTGCATCACTGGACAAACCATTTGACAAGACATCATATCCATCACTTAGATGCCATTTTGCTGTCTTGAAAGGACTGTCATTCTGAAGTGTTCCCAAGAATGTCTTTTTTCCTTGGCCTATGAACATTGAGATCTTTAACATGCAATACTCACTCTGTGGTTGAAATGGGATCCCCCTGATCCAACTTGCTGTCATTTCACTTTGAATGTCTTTGGCTGTCAGTCTCAGCACAGCTCTTAAATATCTTACAATTAGCTTGTTCTTAAAGCACCTTCTTTCTTCCTGACTGTAAGGGAGCCTAATGGCAGCACCATGTATCTTGTCCTTACTGATAATGGGCACAAGAGCTGACACTGGGATTCCCAAATGCTTGGAGATCGCTTTCCTGCTCCAGCTTTATGACATTAATTATCAGTTCGCATTATCAGATAATTAAGCTAATGAACAGAATCGTCCTTTGGCCCAACCTTCTAAAAAGTCTCTGAACGCTCAACTACAATCCCCCCACCCAGTCTGTGATCATCCATTGTTGATCAGATTGATGGAACATCACAGCCCCTGTTCTACAAAGAAAGAAGAAGGACCTCAGTGGGCATGTCTCCAGCCCACGTGCCAGAACCAGTCGTCATGTGACACCGCAGCTGCTCCAGAGTGAGCACTGATGGAAGGGGAGGTATGTCGCTACCTGGCAGCGCTGAAATTAGGCCGGAGCCTGGCAGCTCCCAGGAGTTGCTGTTGCTCAGCAAAACAAGGATATCAAAGCCCATGCAGTCTCCTGCTCTGAGCACCATTTTAGAACACCGAGCTAACAACAAAACTCAAGCTGGAAACTGTGTCTGGTCCACTGGATCTGCTCTTTGAGTGACTCTTTTATTGGTTACAGCAGTGGAGTGCACACAAATGTGTTACAGACTTTGTTGGATTGATTTGTGTTAAACTGTCATCATGGAGTGAATGTAACATAAGGCTTTTTTTACCAGGGGTACTGTGTATTTCTGACTGAGTAGAAAGAGGTGTTCCGTAGCACGCTAGTCACTGGAGTACACTGGAGCCAGTCACTGGGAGGAGTAGGGTGTGATTTGGTAGAGGATCTCAGTTATACTGTAGGCTGTCGGGACCCCAAAGATATCTTATGCACACACAGCTGAAGGGGCATAGGCTGCAGGTGCCCCCAGTGACCCCTGCTGGTGGTGTATGGTACATGTGTAAGCCCCTGTGAAAGAACTGACTATTTCGCAGAATTACAGTTTACGTTCTGCAAAGGTCAGGCTTCAAGTCTTTGTTTCAGCTTGGCTCGGGATTTCCCGACTGCTTGAAAAAGTAAAAGGATCGTTCAAATATGTTTTCCAGGGATTTTATCTAGAATTGCAAGGATGAAACCAAAGAATAATAATACTAGTCTTTCTTCTGCTTGGTTGTTGGACAATCTTAAAGAGGTCTCCATCTTATAAAGAGCACAAATTACAATACAGAAAGAGATGCAAATTACAACTCCCGCAACTGATGAAGCCAAGAAAACAAACTGCACAAAGAAGAAATCAACATCGCAAAAAATCAGAAGACGCACCTAATGTAGTTGAGTCAATTATTTATTTGGGTAAATAAAATACTCTTGTGAAAATCTGAAATATTTCAAACTGAGCCAATTAATGTTAATTATTGTACTCCAGACCCCCAGCTGACTAGCCAAGCTCATATAACTTATTCTAAGGACATTTTTGTCTTTCTGTAACAAAATCAAGAGAATGAAGATGCCGTTTCACAATTTTCAAAACAGATTTCATGTGGAAGAAAACGATTCAGCTTGAGAATCTGACGTTTCACTGGCTGCAACTGGCTTTAGTGTTGTCTTAGTCTTTAAATTGATGGCCTTTAGTCTTGTTTTAGTCTTTAAATGGACGGCCTTTAGTTTTGACTTAGTCTTTAAATGGACGGCCTTTAGTCTTGACTTAGTCTTTAAAATGATGGCCTTTAGTCTCGGTGCCTGATAATGTCATTCTGACAGAGCCTCCCTTCAGCCAGCCAAAGCAAGGTTCTCTTGTATTCTTGCAAGTGATTTTTTCTGCTAACCTTCCACATTTTTTTCAACCACAATTAAAAGCTATGCAGAAATGACTGATCAAGATAAAGACGTTTCCACCATTGAATCGAAAAAGTAAGCGTCCTGTGTGTGAGGGACTGCCTGTCGAAAGAGCAGTGTTTTTTACAGAAGAAAAGACGCTGTAAGCAGTTGTTAATCATATTAAAAGTGCAAGCACTTTCTAAATGGCTCCACGATGTTAAATTATTTTAATTTTTTTCCCTGGCCCGTCCTTTGAAGCTTTACTTTGAAACAGTTAGGTCGGGCACTCTATGAATTAGTCATGCTTTGTGAACACAGAAACCCCTGATTACCTCCACTGCTAGTATTGCTAGCTACAGAAACAACCGTTATAACCACATTTCTCTCAGGCCAGGTTTCCTTACAAAGTGTGCGCTCCACAGAAGCGAACCATCCTTTGTTCATTCATTTCTGGAATAACACCGATGAGTATCTTTCTCATGACAATATTTAAAATAAAAAGAAAAACACATGCAAAAGCAATCGCTACCTAAACGATAGCTCGTAGCCGGTCCTGCTTAATTAAAACCGATCTTGTTAAGGCTACGATTTCTACGATTGAACCGAAGAGACTTTGGCCCTAGGCGGTCTTGCAAAACTCGCTCAGTGGTCGCGGCTCGTGAGTTGACATGCAAATTCCTCAAATAATTGAGTCGGTCAACACCGCAGCGCGAGGCAACAAGCGCGCTCCGCGAAGAGCAAAAGCTTCGGAATTGTCATTATCGTTACTACTCATTGCTTGCACTTACGTGGGTGGATCGCTTTAACCTCCTTTTATGTCCCTGGCAGATCGTCGCGCTACCATGGTGCCTCTGACTTCAGCTGCTGCTTGCACACCTCTGTCCGCCGTAGTATAAGTTCACTATCAAAGCTGGGCTACGGCTGCTTGATTTTTCTGCAAGGATTAAATTAGTATCTGCGGAAGCAGGCAGGCAGCGGAAACCAAGTCACATGAACTGCCAAGATCATGAAAGGTTCGCAGAGCGGGGTCAGAAGAAAACCACTGTTTTCGTTCCTGTTGTTTGTTCGTTCTTTCTCTCAAGTTATCCAAAAACCACATCGTATTTTAAAGGCGCTTCCAGCTCGCCACTAGAAGCGTGCTCAACGTTGTTCACCGATAGTTGGCTGTTTTTGTCTGCTAGGGGAGCTCAGGCGAGCCTGCCTTTGAAAGAGAAAAATGTATCGATCATTAACTGCGATTGCTTACTTTCTTCAAAGGATGAGACAGATGTCTAACAAAATGTGATTATCTCGGCTCCTGTGACCAGTAGCTAGTTGCCCTGTTTCAGGTCTAGGCTGGTCGCAGCTTGAGCCAGTGCATTTTTGCTCTGTGCAGCAGAGGTTAATAATGTCTGTCCACGGACAATGGGTCTTTCTTTATAAAGTGCAAAAACATTAAGTAAAAACTGAATAAACCCCACTTCCTTACATGAAAGTTATGGTTTTATTTGGATAAACTAATTGGTATTTGATAAATAAGGAAGATAAAAAAACGTTCTCTTCAGAAATAGGGATATGATGATACACCACATTCAGAATACTGTCTCGGTTCAATACCGTCCAACTTGAATAAACTCCAGTAGCTAGTCAAAAGTAGTAAGACTATTAGATTGGTGTCCAGCATGCTTATTAGGACAGCTGTTTATTTTCTAAACATCTGTACTTCGTGACACCAAGAGAGATGAACAATACTGCTACGATTTCTGTTACCAAAAAGGGCCTTTAGCCTAACGCTGAAACCTGTAGGCAAGGTTTTTTGAGCTGGTTGCTTCTGATATGTCCTGATATGTCAAGCAGGCCAATTAACCTTTCTCTGGGCAGTGGAAAGCCGTGAGAAACCAAGGGAATTGGAGGTTTCCAATCAGATCTGCCAGTGAAGAGTCCACACATCTCTGGTTTGAGCCAGCGCTACATTCTTATCCTGAATCCTGGATTCCCAAGGACTGAAATCAGTGTTAGCAGGGAACAGTGTTACCTGGGTATTCTTTGGCTGATGGAGAGAGGCACATGTGGAATTCAGTCAGGCACAGTTACTTTGTGTTAAGAAAGAAACTGTTGTTGGGCTCTGATTCAGTTCTGGTGCAACTGATTAGAAGGAGTATGTGACATTGCCAAACAGCTATACGTCAGAATGGACATTTTGTCTATGTGTTTAAAAGCCTGTGTCTAAAAAGTTCAGGTGGGTAGCTGCGTCAGCATGCTTAGGCTGCAAAGGAAAAAGTAATAGGTTTATTCCATGCTGAAAAAAAAGAAGAAAGAAAACACAACGTCTCGGCCGTGGAGCCTTCTTCAGGTGTACTTTGTGCCCTCGTATTAAATGTAACATTTCTAGTAACACAAGACATTGACCTGGGCTGTGCGTGGATTATAAAATGTCCTTCTAGTGTTTTGTTCTCTGGATGGCAATTAATTAACCTACTTCAGAGCTGCACTGAGAAGCACTGTGACTTCACTGCGAACACCACTCTTCCAAGCTGAAGCTGGCTCTCCTGCAAGGCATTGTGGGCCCTGCAGTGGGACAAGTGGAGGATGGCTGGGCTTGAGGAGCAAGAGAAGGATTTCTAGAAACTGGAAGTCTGCAGGTGCGAATGACAAATTCCTGCTCATTTTTTTTTAAATCTGCTGAAACATCCTTGTGTACCGTTACACAATCAATACGTCTTCATACAGTATGCGACTCTTATTTGCCGAAAGTGTCCTATTTCAAGATATATTGGTGAAGTATAATATCGCCTTTTCCTTATGTGGCATTATCGATTACTTAATCAAAAGATGACAAGATGGAAGTAAAATTGTAAGATTGTTTTCTTTTACCTGGTAACGTTGCCTTTCTCCTATTCACGCAAGAAACTGCATTTTTGTGCCTTTCAATACGTTGGCCCCCCTGTACACATTAGCCATGGCAACAATCATTGCACAGTAAAACCGTTTATAAGCATTTACATTTCTTCACATATCCACCTCTATTTATACCCATATATATACATGCACGTACTGCATCTAAAAATGCAAGTGCTCTGGTTCGAGGGTATGGTTCTTCTGATAAAAAAATATGGCTACCCCAGAAAAATGGTATGCTAGCTTTCGCACAGGCAGAAGTTGCTACAGACCGCAAAGCCTCTTTTGCTCACACACCCCTTTACCTCTCATTCCACCGCTTGGTTTGATTAGCAGATACCACTGGGGAGGAAACCGCAGGGTGCTCACACCCTTCCTGCCCTGCTGCACACTCGAGCAGTTCTGCTACATCCCTCCTTCAGCTGCACTGGAGGAAAGAGAGGACACACAGATCGGAGCTCAGCCATGAGAACCACACCAGCTCCCCCAGCCCTGCCATATACACACCACCCACGCTCACCTCAGCTCTGTATCAAACACAAGACACTCACACACTGCAGCCCTGTCATAAATACACGCACACTCACGCACTGTCAGAAATATGCACACACGGACACGCTGTCATAAACACACACACTGCAGACCTGTCATAAAGACAAATTACATCCCTGGCATAAATACACACATACTGCAGGCCTGTCATAAAAGCATGCACACTGACACACTGTTATGAATACGCACACACTGCAGCCCTGTCATACTGTAAACACACACATGGAAACACATAAATACACATTACATACCCATCATAAATACACACATGCTACAGGCCTGTAATAAATACACACACTACAAAACTGTATTAAATATACACACATTACAGGCCTGTGATAAGTACACACATACTATAATCCTTTACACAGACAGATATGATGAATACACACAGTAAGCACACTGACGATCATTAATGAGCACAAATACAGTAGTTCTACAGATCTGGAACATACACACTCTCCTAAACGCTACAGCTCTGCACCAAGAACATACATCCTCCTTACTACAGTCTGCTAGATTTAACCCATCTTCTCACAGAATCACATGCTCTGGAGGAACACTCTGGTCATGTTGCTGAAGTTAAGTTGGAAAAAAAAAGATTTCTGTGAAAATGGCTCGATGGGATTCTTGTATCATTTAGATAACAGCAACAAATGGGCAAAACAGCAACAAATGGGCAAAACAGCAAATGGGCAAAATTAGGTTGGTAACTGCTATTCGTATCTGCATATTCACTTAAGGACTCAGGTTAAAATCCTGGGTTGATCGAAGAGTTACACAACTTTGCTTACAGTAGAAATGGAAATGTGAAATCTTTCACTTCTTAGTTAAACACCCATGTGGGCACAGTCGAAACAAAACAGTCGAACGGAACATGCCCCAGAATACTAGGACATGAGCTGGGGCTGTTGCAAGTGGATGTCCGACGTTGTGTTCTTGAGCAATATTCAGTTTCAAGGTTTTGAAACTTTTTGTCATACTTGGGAATGAAAAAAGGAAGGAAGTGGAAGGCTGCAATAGATAGGAAAGCATAGCTATTTACTGAGCACAGGCTTCCTGTCCTTCAGTGACATCGGCAACTTCTGCAACTCGTGCACACAGAGCAGCTGTGTGCTGGAACTCAGCAGGCTTCCCCTCTTCGCTCGGCCCAGCCACTGTGAAGAAGACTGCAGGCCAGAGGCACAGCCGGCCAAGGGAAAAAATAATTCTTGCTGAAACAAAACACCTGACAGCGATTGCTCTCAAGGCTGCGACAAAATTGTTCGACAAGTAAAACTTTGACTGGACGTCTGAACAGGCAGCTTGCCGCCAGTTGGAGCACACAGTAGCACCCGCACTTGGAGGGCTGCTCTCTGCCAACATGTCTCTGGAGCTCCCCAGTTTATCTTGCACATGTCCAGACCCCCCTCCCCATGTTACAAAAGCTCAAAAGCCAGCAAACGTGTTTTCCTCCACAGCAAGCACAGTGAACTTATAAAAACCGCAGGAGATAGTTTGGGGTGAGACGGAGGGCTTGCTCTGGTGTTCTTGGTGACGTAAACTTCACTTTTGTTACACCAGAGCTTTTTGGTGCACTTAGTTTTGTGGTGCAGCCAAATGTTTAGTTTTAAAACTGTTCAGTTTAAGGAGTGTTGATGTGAAAATGGTAGTTTAGGTTACAGGGATTTCAGGCTAATTGTAATTTTTGTGTCCTCTCACTTTTGAAAGCATTCTACGTGTGTAGTTAGTTATCTATATGCTACTCTTGAGAAAAAAGGTTTATGTACAATACATCAAGACACTGGGAGGTTCCAAGGATATACAGTAGCAGCAGTACCTGCCAGCTGGGAGTTTAACCCTTGTCCTTCTGATGGAAAGGCCAGAGTCCTAATCAATAGGTTCAGGCAGCTTCATTTCTAGATCTATTTCTGGTCATTTTTATAAATCAAAAGGAGACTAAGGAGACTGTGGATCTGTTTTGATAGATGGAAGCATTCTAAACACTTATTCATATACTTACCCTTATACTTTACGGGCAAACAAAAGACTCAAAAGGTGAAATGGTAGCTGATTAATTCAGTGCGTGTCCAAACATCTATGTCCTGACACTTACAGGAGGAAGTCTGATTGCCTTTTGTATCTCATGAGGAATGCAAAAGCACCCACAGATGACTTAAAGTACAGCATGGCAGAAGAAAACCCACCAGGCAAAGAGCACATATTCATTAAAAGCTCACAGATGCTTAAAGAAAAAAACAACACCTCCTGAGGTTGCTCATCTTCTGCAAAGCTCTGACTGGAGAGCCTGCTGTGTCTCACAGCTCAAAGGTCACTGGATTGAATATAAACTTAGTATGGTAACAACTCCACTGTCCGTGCTTGGGTTAGCAGGGGTGAGATTGGTCAGGGAGGCCTCAGGTAGCGTTGGTGTTTGGCGCAGAAGTAGTGCACCACTCTGATGCTATGTCCCTGCAGCGCAGCAATTCTGTTTTTACAGCACTCATTATTTAAAATCTGGCAAAAGTGGTTACCATTGTCCACTCAAGCAAATAATTATAAACACCTAGGAAATATAATGATAAAGACTAATAAGCTCTATTTCAGATGCAGAGGAATAAAACTTTTCTTTCCATTTCTGATTTATGTCCTTTCAAGTTGAAATGCATGGGACTTGTTCCTGATTAGTTCTCAGGATTTGGTACAGTTTGATGTGCACAGGACCTTGATCTAGAAGGATTTCATCACAGAACAACCCATTGCCCATGTTTTCTTTCTCTCCTTTGTGTTTGTAGACAACTAATGCGTGGTGTCAGCATTCGTGAATGTCAGCACACGCAACATTCTTCCCCAATGCAGGATGATCTTTATTCTTTATTCTTCTAATCTTTATCTTTATTACTTTGGCTAACAGATGAGATACATCTCTGATGTCAACAAAAATAGACCACAGCAGTGTAATAACAGAAAGCTTGTTATTTACTCACATACCAGAACGTTTAGAAAGAATCTATTTCCCCTCAGGAGTGATTGCAATGTTTTGGCCAAGCAGTTTAAGATACATGTGAGAAGTTGTGATTTTCCCATACAACACAAACTGCAGCTTCTTAAATTCTTCAGTTCACCCAAGGAGTGAAAGGAGAAAGGCAGGTGAGAGGACCACAAGCTTTTTGGAAAACGTTTTACTGCAGCCATTACTGTGCCTTCACAGTACTACTCATGGCCTAGTGTTTCTCTTTTTCAGTCCTTTCACCTTTACTTACAGCTTCTTAGCATTCAATTTTTTTACAATATGCATCAACACCTACTTCATTTTCAACAAATGTTTGTACCCACTTTTGGCTAAGAGTGTTACCATTCTACTTTTTTTGGAAACTTCTTGGGAAATTACAGGTCACCGTGTAAGTGTGGCAGCAAGAAGCTATCCTAAGCCCCGGTGCCTGCTGGGAGGAAGTGAAAGTCCTTTAGCTGATGTTTTTGTTCATGTACACTGGCTTGTAGCGCCACACATCTGGGCTCCTCTTTGTGCCAATCAGAAACCCTGCATCGAAGGTGCTCTTGTCAAAGCGTGGTAAGAATGCAGAACACCACCGGCACCCACAGATCTTTAATGTGGTTCCTCAAGGGCACACAGATCCATTGTTTTGAGCTGGCACACGTGGAGCCTGACGTACATTACCACAGACTGGTGCCTGTGCTTTCCTTGAAGACCTGCCTGGCAGAGCTTTATCAAGTCCAACCAGTGTGGAAGAAGACGGACGAGAGAGAAGACATTGAAGGGCCAACAGCACTAAAAATCATAAAGAGAAAAAGACTTCCCCTTTATGTAGAAATCAAGATTTCCTTTTTTAAACAACCACTGAGTTAATTTACATATTACAGCAATGCCACTGTAATCCAAGAAGTTGCAACACAGTGGGGTTTCAAAAAAAATTCAGTTGGCTCAACCGAAGCAGTATGTGTGAATAGATATTGAGCTAAAGATACAGTGTGAAACCTGAAGATTGCTCACCTGCTTTAAAGGAATGTGAGCAAATTAATTTCAACTCTACATATGGGTGGTTTAATTTATAACAGCACTTAGCATTGATTAAACTACCTAGGTCACCTGTTTAAGGTGGTGATATCCACTGAATGCAAATGGAGTTTAAGTATTTTTGCTAGTTTACATAACATTTTATTCTTTCTGCAGCATACATGTGACAGAATAATCCAATAAATAATAAATATAACTTGTTAAATATAATAATTTAGTCAATACAGCTACATAATTAAGAGGTGGTAAAATGAAGCCATCATAAGGATAGCCATTCAAAGCCGGCACAATAACATTGTTAACACCTGTTTTGTGAGGACCGACAGCTATCAAGCCTTATTAAATACTTCGTCTCTTAAACAGGCAGCTTCACAAAACTGAAAATACAAATGTGTATTTTCCGATAGCCCCACAGCGCCTCCTAGTGGAGAAAAAGTCTGGCGATACAATGCCAAGTGGCACAGCACAGAAACTTCCAATTACCTGCTGTAGTGTTTCGACGGATAAGGTCCAGTCTCGACTTTAGATATTGCTTAGATTAAAGGTGGATGAGGAATCTCAAAGGAGACCAAGATAAATCTTTACCAAAGCCAAAGTACCTGTAGATGCTGCAAACGACACCTCATCTGTATCATGTGGCCTGGCTTGACCGTGCACGGCCAGCTCTCTACCTGATTCACTTGTCTTTATTGATGATGCAACTTATGGTAACAGCAGCTGAGTAAAGATTACAGAAACATTTTTTTTCTGGTCAGGTAGAGTTAAGTGGTTATTGGGTGGCACGGTGTATATTTCAACAGATTCTATTATATTATTTCTACTTTCTGCTCTGTGAGAGAAGCCCAGACTCAGACTAATATTATCCAACAGACTGGATCCTTTTACACTTTATTCAAAGGCTCATATGTTCACCGACAGTAGGAATAAAACCTAATAAATAAAATTCAAGATGCATTAAAGTCAAAGAGAACAGGTTTTCCTGTTCCTGGCCAAATTAAACCCCGCACGCAGGAAGAGATCCTGGAAAACTGGATTTTAGAGCTCAGCCTTGTGGAGGTTTAACTTGAGAGCTGTCTATTGGAAAATTGGCATACAGTGCCCGTAGAAAGTCTGCATATCCTTTCCAAAGTAACATTTTTTGGCCTGAAATTAAGACCTATTAAATCAGAATGTATTTTACCTTTATTTAAGACATTGTAACATAGAGCCTCAAAATGAAAAACATATGCTCAAACATTTCGAAAAGTACGAATGAAAACCTAGAAAAATGGGTTGGATAAGTGTACACACCCCTTTCTAACAGCAATTGTAAATAACAACAAACTACTGAGCCTTCAGCTTGCTGATGATTTTTGTTCCTGTAGGTCTCCTTCGCTGGGAAGTGCAGAAAGCAGACTCAAATACGGACAACAAGGAGCTATCAAAATAAATCCAAGATGGTGCAAAGGAACAGATCAGGCAATGGATATAAAAAGATTCAAAGACCTTAACTATACCAGGAGAACAAAGAAGATGATTATTAAGAAACAGAAGGTGTATGGCACCACTAAGACCCTGCCTAGATCAGGCCATCCCAGCAAATTGAATGACCAAACAAGAGGGAGAGTAATCAGAGACCCTACCAAGAGGCTAATGGCAACTTTGAATGAGCTACAGGCTTTTATGGCCAAGAGTGGTCAAAGCGTGTATGTGACAACAATGTACCAAACAGTCCACAGATCTGGCATGTATCACTGAAGCACAAGAACGAAGCCATTGCTGGCAAAAACAGCAACAAAGCATTAAAGTCATATTTCAAACATGTGGCAAAATGTTGTGTGGCTAGACAAAACTAAAATGGAACTTTCTGGCCCAAATGCAAAGTAACACGTTTGGCACAAAACCCAACATAGCACGTCACCCAAAGAAAACCAGCCCTACTGTGAAGAATGGCAGTAGCAGCATCATGTTACTGTCGTGTTTGCCATATCGACAGGGACAGAGGCATTTGTGAGGAAGGAAGGGGAAATGAAGCACAGAAGAGTCCTTGTGGAAAACCTACTGCCTCCTGCAAGGAAGCTGAAACAGGGATGGAAGTTACCCTTTCATTGTGCCAGTGGCCCAAAGCACACAGACTAATTCAACAGTGAAGCTGCTAAAGACCACAAAGGTAAACGTCCCAGAGTTGCCCAGGCAGAGCCCTGATCCTCGATCCAACTGTCAATCTCTGGAACGACTTGAAGGTTGCAGTCCATCATCGGTCACCTAGGTCACAATTTGACTGAGCTTAAACAGTTCTGTAGGGAGGAATGGGCAAACACTGCCCAGTCTAATTGTGCTGCGTTGTATGTTTACTACAGACCTATCCAAACAGAATTAAGTCTGAAAATCAAGTAAAAAGTGCTTTCACCAAGTACTGACTTAAGGGATGTGTACACTTACCCAACCTGTTTTCCTAGGTGTTCATTTTTTAATTACTTTTCAGAATGCCCGTGCATTCATATTTCACTTGGACGTTGTGCGTTACAATGTGTAAACACACATTGTAAAATAAATAAATACGGTAAAATAAATTCTGATTTAACATGTCTTGATTTCAGCCCTTTCGGCCACAAAATGTGTTACTTTGTGTAGACTTTCTACAGGCACTGACACTTGTTTTTGCAGTTTCACATGTCACATTGCAGAAGCAGTCATTTGTAAATCATCATATTCTTCATCAGTGTTTCATATTACACAGCATATGTAAACCTTTCTTTTTCCTGATATTGTGCATTTTTGTCACAATTCCTATTTGGCCTTTTGCTTCAAATAAAACATCCATTAAGGATAAAAAAGTCTCCACTTTTAAGTTAAAATTGTCCAGCAGCTGACAAATTAAAATGTCCACAGTTGAGACGCATGGATCGATGCCCCCAGTCTCAGATACCCTTGTCCCTGACCCTGTTCTGCACAAGGGTTGGCCTGCACTTCCATCCCAGAATGGCAGGAAAACCTTTTGTGTCCCCAGAAACAATGTCTTCTTGGCACTCTTCCTCTGCCAGCTCAGCACCGAAGCAGACATCAGCCATCCAGAGGCTTTCCCAGGTACACCATTGTAACTTCTGTGTTGCCATACACAGCTGAGACTGCCGGGTACAGGCAGGTCTTGGGCAGCCCTCGGAAGGCCACCCCCAGGAACTCAAATCCGCGCTCAAAGGCCAGGGTCTTGTCCTCCATGTCTAGAATAACCCGTATCCGCTCTCCAATCTGGAACAGAACAGTAAATTCCGTACTGATGAGAGAAAGACCAGGGCTCAAATCCAAACAAGAAAGATACACACCTCTTGAACAGAGAAGGTTTTAACAGATGTCTTTAGGATCTGAGAAGTGTGAAACTGACCCAGGTTGGATAGGCTGAAAACCAGTAGCATCCCCCTCTAGTCAAACGTTAGTGAAATTCTGTCCAGGATAGTTACATGGGACCACATTTGGTGTATATTGTGTAAGAACGTTTGTGGCTATATCGCACAAGGAGAAGACACTGCTGGACAGCCAAAAGGGTTTTGGCTCAAGAGACAAACATCTACATCTTACATCTTTGGCAGGATGAGCTGGAAAGGGAATTAATCACAACTTCTGTAACAATTCACTTGCAAAAATGATCAGTACTCTCCAATCATTTGCAGCTCTGCTTAGGAATTTACATTAATAGATACTATGAATATATCCAGTTAATCAAGAACAGTTCCTTCCGAGCGCACTTAAAAACACATAAAGCAATATAAAAAGCAAATAAATTGACATCTTTTAACAGGGGAACCCAATTTGTTTCTTAACAACATTGTCTGTCTGGTTGGTATTGAATTTAGGTGATGCTGTAATGGCCAATTATAAAGCTACTGCAAGCATCTGTCAAAACTATATTTAAACAGATTTATGACAGCTGGCAGAATTGTACCTTCTTACAAGGAGCCTACTATTTATCGGCGTGTTTATTGGCAATTAATTGGAACTTTCTTTAACAATTGTTCTACTCGTCTATAAAAGTATACTGTGGTGTTCATGATACAGCATCCTTGAACCTCAAAAATGTCAGTGTACAAAACTCACAGCATCACAAGTGAAATAAGATTTACATCCAGGATCAAGAATATACGGGTGTTTTATGTTTTTTCCATAGAGTCAGTAACCTAAAGGTATTGCTTTTTTCAGCAAACAAAATCAGCAATGTTGTTAATGGCATGCTTCCATTGGATTTTATTTTTTAACAAATCTCTCACCTACTACGTGGTTTTACCAAATGCACGACCTGGGAAGGTTGAAAATGTTAAACAACGGATGCCACAATTTAAGGACCCGTTTCAGTTTCTAAAGACACATTTACACAGAGGCTCCACACGAGGCCTGTATACCCTACATACGTTGAGCTTCATTAATATGATGGAAATCTGTAACTACGTCTTAAAAAAGTACCACCAACTGACCATATAGTGATACACTTTATCTGAAAATAATTCAAATGGTCCAAACATTTGTACATCAAACATGAAAATACTGTTAAATATAATACCTTTTAAATATCTTACTTCAAGCTTAAATTTCAAAACACTATTTTGTTTCAGCAGTGGCCTGTTCATTCTGTAGCCACTGTGTGAAGATCTTATTTTCAAAAGAGCACTTTGCAGTCTCCCATATTATAGACTCAAGAGGTGCATTTCTGCCTGTGTGTGATATTATTTTAAGGTTAGGCAAAATGGCAACAGGCTGAACTCAAAGCAACAAGAAGGGAACATGGGAACATGTATACTACAAGACACAAAACAAGGTTGAAGACGAACTTTGCAATGACAACGGAAGAAATCAAACTGTTTGCACCGATGAGGATATCTGACTACTGACAGCTGTAAGAAGAGTCTCAGGAAGGCCTCTGTCTTGTGTCCAGCATGAAGCGTAAGTATTTGTAGTTTACGTCCAATAGCATGTCCAATTGTGATACCTGCCTACTGTGTAATCACCGTGACTCTCTGCTATGGCCTTCATAGGAGCAGTGTACGGATGCAGGTTCTGCACATGCTGTCTGAAGGAGGCCTTTCAGAGCCACCCTCTGCCTTTGGCCCTGCCAGCCCCTCTGCACTACTGAGGGACTGAGTACACGCGCAGGGTTTGACTGACAGAACAGCAGGCCAGACTGACTCAGGCAGCCCGAACAGTTGCATCTGTGAAGCATGGATTGCAGTCCCTGGCTATAATGGTGCAGCCCAGATGCATGTTGGAAAGGTGTGCACCACAGGAACCTAAATAAGCACTTTTTCACCTGGTAGCCAAGCCCTTTGGGGAAACTGGGGAATTGCATCATTTTAAAATGGTTCCCTTGATGTCCTTCTTATTGTAGCATTTTATGTTATTGTGAAGTTCTCTTATAAGAAACTTCTCTACTCAAAGGAACTAAAAATTAGGTTAATGCACAGCCAGAACACTGTAGGAAAAAATGAATAGGAGACAATTATATCCTGGATCTTTGGAATTCACTTTACGTTACACAATCAGCTCTTTAGCTGTGTTAACAGCAGCAGGATACTCAAAGGCTTCACAGGCGTAGCTCGGGACAGGGACTGTTCCCTGTAAAAGGCAAAAGATTTATACGATATGAAGAGAAACCAGACTAGAACAGGGACTCTTCCCTGTCCCAAGTTACTTCTCGGTGATGCTATACTGTGAGACAGAAGATGCGTCTGCCTACCGTCTCGTACCTGATACTTGGGTGCATTGTTGCATTGTGGGAAGTTGCCGTTGACCTCTCCGTTGTGTAGCAGATTGTTGTCCACCAGGTTCCAGCCCCAGCTCTGGTCATCGCTGCCGAGGAGGGCCACGTAGCCTTGGCACTGCATGGACGCTCGCTTGGTGGCGATGCCAATGACGGCCACTGTGCCCAGCGGCCCCTCCCACCAGATCTCCCATGCGTGGCGACCCTCGGAGAAGCCGATCTTGCCACGGGCACCATCTGTGCTCTGGGCAATGGGGTTGCGGTGCAGAGTGAAGCCGTTCTTCTTCACATAGACATTGCGAGAGCAGTCGTGGGAACTCAAGGCATGCTGGAACGCTCTCAGCTGAAGAGAAGAAAAGTGTGTGAAATCTGCTCTGTGGTACACACAGAGCAAACTTTTAATTCAGGAAATAAATTAAGACTCTCAATGCATAAAAATCTGATTCAGTTCAGGTTTGATGAACTGCAGGTTCTTGTATTATATCTGTAGCTGGACCAGGGATACAGAGTAATGTGCAATAAACTCAGATAAACTCCCGTTTTATTATTGCAACTGTCATAAGTTAATAAAGGAAAACAAATTTAACAGTGTAAATACCTGACGGAAAAAGATAACATTAAACAACAAATTTAAAATGGGAGAGAAAGGGAAAATGTCACAATGAGTCCACAGAAACAAATTCTAAAAACGTGTTATTATTCACTTAACTCGAAGACGTTAGTTATTCACTTAACTTAAGACGAATAAAAAAAGACAGTCTTGCAATCCGTTTAGAATGCCTTGATATCCAAAACATCACCCGGAAGATATGTCAGTTCAGCTTTTCCAGACCAAGCTGCTGCTCAGTTATCTTATAGTGTGTAATTTCCACAGTTTATCTGGAGACTATTTCTGACCGTCACACATGTCTCTAGCCAAGAGCCGACATGCTGTGCCACACAGCCACAGCCCCACTGATGGGAAGTGACGTTTCTCCACCCTGCAGGTCCCAGTTCTGGGACCAGTATAACTGATGTCATAGGCATCAGTGACGTCCGGGGGCTGGTGTGCTTCAACTAGTCTCAATACAGCGACCCACCGTGATGATTTGGTCCAGTTGACCCGATTAAGACATGAACAGCAGAGGGGAGAAAAAAAAATATTTCTGGGTGCCAAAAATGTTATTAGAGTAGGTCAAGAATTTTCCCCTTCCCTTAATTTTTCCACACTTTTTTTGGCCCCTTGTGTTTTAGTCATGTTTCCACTGAACCAACTGGAGTACTGTAATGAGAACTGTAAATCAAATGCCTTGAAAAACATTCCACTTGTCTGAGTTTGTTGAACTCCTCTTTTTCTCCTGACTCCGGAAAAATCCCACATGGCCTCAATCAGATTTTTAGGTGGCCAATCAAGATTTATAGCATGCTAGTTTCCACCTCAGTTCTTAAATGTATAACTATAATAGTAGCACATTTTGAACTGCAAAATATGATAAATAATCCCAAGTTTTGCACAGTAATGTATTTTGACACTTTGTTGTCTATCCACATATCTCCAAACTGAAGGTGTATTAATAAAAGAGATCCCAGGGATTATTTTAAGTTCATCAAATAGGATGGAATGACATAATTAGAAACCAAATAGAAGCCAGCTTCACAACAATATGAGTAAAAAAATGTTTTTATATTATATAGAAATATTTCTGCATTATCAGGACATGCGTGTAGTAGAAGCAAAGAGGCTGAAAACATTTTAGGTGAAGGTTTAATGGCGTGCTTGAGTCACACAGACGAAAGGAAAATGACCAGAGGACAACACAGTGGTGCAGTGGTCAGCACTGCTGCCTCACAGCGTTGGGGTTTAATTCCTGGGGTGCTATCTGTGAGGAGTTTGTATGTTCTCCCCAGGTTTGTATGGTTTTCTTCCAACAGTCCATAAACATACTGGTAGGTGAACTGACTTCTGGGAAAACTGGCCCTGGTGTGAGTGTATGTCTGTGTATGCCCTGTGATGGACTGGTGTCCCATTCAGTGTGTGTTCTGCCTTGCACCTGTTGCTTGCTGGGAAAGGGTCCAGCCATGTACTGGATATAGTGGTTAGATAATGAATGGATAGCAAAGCACTACTGCTCAGAAGAGCATGTTCCCCATCAGCTTTTTGTATGTTATTTTTCACCCCAAACTGCTTTATTTTACCAGTAAGGCTTACTAAAAATATGCCACGTAAATTTATCCAAGGTGGTGAATAAAAAATAGTATTGTCCTAAATGGTAAAAAATATATTTTACTCACATAACTGCGAGCAAACACATACTTCAGATTGTAACAGGCTACTGGTGAGTTATCGTCAAATGTATTAATCTGCCAAATTTGCTTTTACCAAACCCTGACTGTGGCTATTGAACAGCCTGACCCAGATCAGACAGAACTTCTCACACCAGATAAACCACCAGGGGTTCCAGACGGGCAGTTAGTGAGACGCACAACACCGCCGTCCTCCAGTTTACTGATCTATCTTTACGTTTCACAGCTTGGATTAAACAAATGTAAATGTCTATCCCATGCTGAAAAGAGAAGGAAGGAAACACAACGTTTCGGCTGTTTCGGGTGTGAAGAAGGCTACACAAGTGAAACGTTGCATTTCCTTTCTTCTCTTTTCAGCAAGGAATAAACCTTTAACTTTAAGCCTACACATGCTGACGCAGCTCCCTACTTGAACTATATGTAAACATTTCAACAGTCTCTAAAATTAACTTGTAATAGATAATATACCCGACAGCCTGTATCAGGGTAACCCAATGTCCCTTTGTAAGGGCCTAAGAAACTAACAGTAACGCCCAAGTGTTTAAACTTAAACGTCCGACTGTCCGTACTCTAAACGCGACATTATTAGATGAACTAAACTGCCCCCAGTCATTACATTTCAGGTGCTAGCATGCTGAATTTGTTCCGCGATTAAAAGCACACTGGTTAGGCCAAGAGCTGGGTTTTAAAGATGCGCTAGGGGAGACAAAAAGGACGATTTAAACACAATCTCCGATGTACCGAGTACGCCTTCGCACTGATGTCAAAAACAAAACGACAGCCAGACACTTTACTTGGAATGAAATCGCGTTAATAGTGCGGCTATACTCTATGACAGTGTCGGACCCAATGTTTACCTTTCCTTTGTAGGTGGGCAGGTTGCAGAGAATATCCGAGCGCAGCGCCTCTTCCCCCAGCGTGCGGACGCACAGGCTCCGATAGACCTCGCTGTTCTCGTCGGCGCTGAGGCATCGGTGCCAGTGTCTGCACACCAATGCGCAGCGGAGCAGGTCCCGCAGCTCCAGGTAGGAGAACACATGCTCCAAAACCCGGCAAGGCAACCTGCCTGCAACCCCTGCCCCGGCGGCTGTGCCAGCGCTCGGAGCAGCTGTCCCTGTGGAGAAAGACGCCCCTCCGGCCGCCGCTCCCGACATCCTATAGCACAAAATAAACCCCACAGAGACAGGCAGGTCACCAAGGCAGCGAGTCGGAGGGAGAAAATTCCAAAATGCAAAATGCAAACTCGCAGGCTGTGCGAGACCGGATCGGAACCGGGACACAGCCGGTGCAGAATACAGATCCAGTCACTTACACGCACACTGAAAGCGGGGAGGAAACAGACCAACAAAACCAAGGGTCCTGTTAAGACGCTAGTATACAGACGTAAAACCGGAGGAGCGCGAAGAAGCCGTCAGCATCGACTCGTTTATTATCGTGCCATAAAATGAGTACTGAAGGAATTGCATTTTCCGAGTCAATCAGTAAGTTCTTCGTATTTCACTTGAGGGTATAATCATTTGTCCTTTTACACCCCTGTTAGGACCCCATGAAGACGCCTGGTCAGCTACCGTAAACACAAGTGGGAGTGTCTCATTTGCTGCACAGCAAGAGTAAAAATTCCGTCTCTGTGCTCCGCTTGACTTGGCTCGTTTTAAATGAGATTAACCCTTTGGAATGAATGTAGACTTTAAGAAGTGTAAAAATTCAATCCAGGTATGTTATATTAAAATTGCGCAACGCACTAGTAAGACCTAATTTAAAATACTGTGCATAAATTTGGTCACCACTATAGAATCATATTTTACTGCTGTGGAATGCTGGGCTTCAGTGGTTCAGAGCAACCTAACACATTCCTGGCCCGAAACATGTCCTGTAATGACAAGTTTAAAGAGTTTCTCTGTCTTCAACAGAAAAGGCTATGAGGGGACCTAATTCAAGTTTTCAAAATTGTCAAAGCCTTTGACAAGGTCTTTTTCCTGAATATACAGTGAACCATGAACCAGTGAACATAAACTGGAAATAACAAGGTCCATAAAACTGAGTACTGGGGGAATGTCTGTACACAGATGATTGTGGGAGTTTAGAACAAGCTAGGCAGCTATATTATTGAAGATGGTGTCCTGGGTTCTTTCATCTAATGGCTGAATTAGATCCTTTGATGAATTAGCTTCTAACTACTGAACAACCCAAATAAGATGAGTAACCCACTTTTATTGTAATTTTACCTGTGCCTTATTATTTGGCAAGCTGTTCTTTCACAACTAAACACATAAAAATGATTTAATTAATAACTATTTGCTGGCCCCTGCTCAGATATGGCTTCTCTGCTCTTTGTCCTCTTACTAAGCTTTTCAAAGAATTTCTGCAATCTGGTCTTGTATCTGCAGATAGTGTTCTGCTATCACACCTGTGCCAAACCAGGTCTGGAACTCCAAGTAGCTAACAACCACAACCCTATTTACAATGTGTCCCTTCTTGCAAAAATTATGGAGTGGGCAGTTAAAGGTGATGAGCTCTTTGAACGTTTCCTTTTTGTTTACCCGAAGAATTGAAAAGAGCTTGTGTTAAGGTATTTAATGAATGGCTGATGGCTTCAGACTTGTTTAGTATTTTTGTTCTCCTTCTGGACTTAAATGAAACTGACAATTACAACCTCCTGCTGGATACAAGGGATCACTGAGGCAGACATTTATTCCCACTTGGAATTTGGGTCTTGTTCAACCAAAAAGCATGCTCCACACACAGGGTGATTTGGATTTCCTGAGTGCAGTAACATGTCTGTAGAATCCACTGCTCAGACACGCTGCTCTTGTCATTAAATAAGTACAAAATGCTATGTTTCAATCTTTTCACTGGAGGAATGTTATGAGTGTTACTGCTCGGAAAGCTCATAATCACCTGAAGGCAATAATTTCATTTTTTATTTCTATTTCAGACACTGTCGCAATATTTCCGACCGTAATCAAGAGTCAAAGCACAGTTTTTATTTTTTGTTAATAATTCTCCCTGTGCATTAAGACATTTCTAATTCTCTAGGACCGGAACCCACAAAGTCACAGATTATTGTCACATAACCAGAACAAATAATATCCCAGACACCTGTCACATGATCCAGGTCCGGCTTCAGTTGCCACTAGTCGGAAGTGACGTTTGCTGATGTAGGTTTGGTTGGTGCGCAGCAGTTCTAGACAGAGAGGAAAGGGGAGACACAAGAGACAAGAAAAATATATAACAATACCAGAGGGAAAGAAGAGACAGGAAAAGGAAAATCGGTTGAGCAAGCCTAAAAAACGTAAGTATCATGCTTCGTTGCAAATACTAGCAGTGCTATGCGTGTCTTTGTGTCGTACCTGTTGCAAGTGCTGGATACTTCGAGGCAGGGTGGGTTGAAGGGTGAATGGGATACAGAATAACCGAGGGATACGAGATGCTGAGGCTGCTTTGCAATTCCTCCCTGCGGCCTGTGCTGTCCGATTGCCTTACAGCACCAATGGAGCCTCACGGTTGTCGCCGTACCTGGCTTAAAATGCGTGTAACCTCCCGCAATTTTTTTCGCACCGTCCCGATAAGCAGGGAAGAGCTCGACACGATGTGAACCCGAATCGGAGCGGATAGCTGACCTGGACGCGCAGTCGGCTTGTCGAAAAACTTCAACACAAATCGCCGATCTGGACACCAGTAGTATCCAACTAATAAGGTTACCCACGGTCACGCACCGAGAATAATGCGTGGGATGGAGGCAGTGCGCTTAATATATTGTTAGCTACCGATGAGGGCAACCAGCCCCCCCTCTTAAAAAAAAAACCCTTTTAGTGCAAAGTGCCACTTTCCTGTGTTCTTTGTAAATATTGGATTGATGAGTGTATGGGCGCAGTTGTTTCACTTCTACATAAACTAATAAAATGGTGCTTTGGACAAGGTGTACATTTTACATTTGAACGAGTCCGCATTAAATCGGCGGCAGTGAAGGTTTGGGCTTCCCTTAGGCGCGTTAGGCAAATCAGGAAAACGAACTTCACGACTTCGAGGGTTACAAATAGAGCTCAGGTGTCCTCACTAGTTTAGACGTTTGTGGTGAGAACAGATTCTGCTTGCTGGATAAAGATGTCTGCGTTTTTAGTGCTCGGATGAGGTGGTTTGCTTTGTGTCCTTACCTTTGTACTCACCTCGTGAGATTTTTAAGGCAGTATTACTAGGTCCCGAGCTGTTTGACTGTTGTAGGTTTACGTGCTGTTGAATTTTATACTGAAGCAGCGCCAGTCTGTTTACACTTAATGCTCAATCAATGTTTTGTTTGCGGTTACCAAATGTTATTTTTTAATGTGCACACTGCTGAACATAACATTAATAAGCGTCTTTCTTGCTGCGGATTTCAACATTGCAGTACAACTCTCTCTCCTAAATTCCAGGGTTATCATGAGGTCGCCTTTCAAGTTCACAGCAATCTCAGCTTCAGCACAAGCTGGTGTTCGGTTATTTTTTGGTATGTGAATGATGAGTAACTGCTGACATGCTCATCAGTAAGATCTTGGGAGTTAAATTCTTTACTCTTTAGTCCAAGCTTTACTGTAAAATGCATACTATTTTAGACATGATTTGCTATTGAGAAATCCATCTTTCCGTCCATTTCACAATTTAAATGTTAATAATATGTATTCTGTATTCATTACTGGAGTGTGCTGACAGTATGGAGAAACATGTCTGAAGCCCATTACTCATTACACCTATACATCGGTAGTGTCTGCAAAGGGCAAATGTGTCAGTATTTTTATTTACTGAAGTTTAGATACTACTACTCATGTGCCTTATTTGAGGAAGAAGCCATCTGTCTGTTTATCCAAGGAAAGCAGATTTTATTTCTCTGCCTGTTAGATGACAGCTCAGCTCCCTCCTGTTTGATGGGAAAAGTCAGAACTCCCTGCATCAGCTGCCAGCCTTGCGTTTCAATTACCGGCAAGCGGGTTCAGCCGGTTTTCTTTACCGCTTTGGCAGCCTGCAGCAGTGCTGCGAAGAACGAGGTTTTGCACGAAACTGTGATCCGAGATGCGTGTGTCTCCCGAGAGTGTAGGCAACCGGCAGGCTGCTGGAATCGATCAGGTGATGATCGTTCTGGCTCTGCGCAGTCACCGCTTTTCGAGTCCTCGGCACTGAGCTCTGCCGTGTGCTCTTCTGATTAATGGTCTCGGTTCACATTTGCTTTTAACGTCTCCACAAAATGTTGCACGCGGTTCACTGTGGCGCACGTCGACGGAAAGTTAGGGACTTTTGAACAACAGCTGTAAATTCTTTTGCCTTTTCAGTTCTGAAATAAACAGCATTTTTCTTTTCCCGTAAGAAAGTTTTAGAGCTGTTTGCTTTAATCTCTGGATACTTCACATTCATGCTACATTATTAGAGGTATCACCATTATGCCCCATGCTTAGATTATAATGTATTTGTTAACCTAAATTTGTTGGCCAGACACGGACAGTGCTGAGATGTTGTGTGTGTGAGAGAGGTTTTTACAGCATCCAAGAATAGCTAATGGTGTCTTGTGCTTAAATATGGTCAGGTAAGCACAAGTATCATGTGGCCTAACCATTTTCCACCTCCCCTGGGATAGAGCTTTTGTCTGTGCTTTATAAAAGTGTTGTGTGGCCAGCGCAGGAGGAAAGAGTGTGAGGTGGCTGATTATTATAAAGACAAGTCAGTTTTAACTTGGGCCTTGAGCCTGGCATTGCATCGCATCTTGCTTCATTGAAGAGGCGAGTGTGCAGCAATGCATAAATATTAAAGCATGCCACGGGATTTTGCAGTTGCACAAGCCTTGCATCTGGAAGCATAGCCGTGTGTGCCGTAGTTAAAAATGCATCAGCTGCCGAGCAGTGCCGAGCCTTTTCCGTCCCGTTCCGCAGCATGTGTGCGATTCTGTTGCGTGTGTTCTGTTTCTGGCTATGTGCCTTTGTTTGCCATGCCGGCGTCAAAACAAACCTTTTGCAAAACCAACAGCAGCAATAGTGCAAAATACTGTGCAAAGAAATCTAGAATTTCTAGATTCCAGAGGGGAGGAAGTCTTCAGGCAGGTCGGGAAAGCTGGCATCTCCAGACGGAATATGGAGCCCTGCCTGCATGTTGAGATTGGATAAGGCCAGAAGTCACCCGGAGGTCATGGAGCCGGGAGGTTTCCCTGAGGCGTGGAGTCTGGGCAGTCGGCGTGAGGCACGACTGGAAGGAAACAGGAAGCGCGGCCGAAGAAGAAATGCCCCTTTTCTGTCTCCATCACAGGATGTCAGACAGCAGGTTTTGATTTACTTTCCGCCTGAGCTATCGCTAACTTACTGGAACTCATAATATCGTTAATTGGACAATGTGAAAGGCTTTTTGTCAGCTTTCAAGTCGGAGAGGGTCACGGGCCTTCCTCGCAGTTTCTGATTTATTGCGTCTTCGAATCGTTATCCGCTGATGGCCCTGGGGAGGGAAACTGAGGGTTTTGACTCTGTTTCCGGATCAGTTGGGCGTTATCTATAACGAAGCGCTTCTCATGTAGCTTTCTCTTAAATGCTTCAATATCGTGGGGTATCATAGATATCTAGAACGAGCTGCTCAGAGACGTTGTCAACACTTATTCCTTCGGATCAGTTAAAAATCACTGGATAAGATCCTCAGATCAGTCAGCCCCTGCCTACCAGGTGAGTGTGGTTGGTCTGAATGGTCTCCATATTCCCATTTGTGCATCCTGATGACTCTTCAGGACTTCTTTATTGTGTTTTGTAGGTAACCTCAGCAAGTAAAAGAAGATTTGTGTTTTACCGTGTCCTTTGAATCTACACCTTTTTGTCAAAATATTCGATATTTTCTACCCTACTATGCCATTACATATAACTTGAAACCTTTAATGAATTAATCCTCTTTTTGCTTCTTTCTATGGGCAGACAATATATTTGCTTTATCCATCACTGCTAACAGGGGTCGGTGTTTAAAGAGAAATAGAGAAATCCCTCCTCTCCAAAAACTAACATGTCATTAAAGAAATTGCTTATTAGAAATTGTTAATATTGTTGCTACCTGCTTATTTCTGAATTTCTCGTGCTTACTTGTGGAGCCATTCACTTCTAAGTCATATGAAAAGGGATTAAATCAAAGAGCAACTACACAACTAATTTAGAAAGTCCACATTATCTGCTCTGTAAGTGAGATAATCATACCGGTTACAGATATCAAAGGAGCCCGCTGAAGGGGGAAGAGAGTCTAATTGTTCCATTTCATAAGCATTGATGTGTTAAGGAATTGTGTTTTTTTAATACTGGGAGTTTTTTGTGCAAAATGGCTTTTGTAAGTTATGATCTCAAAGTGGTTTTGCAACCGCTGCATGATGACTGATTTGTTATTCTGGATGTGGAAATTTCTTAAAATCGGCGTTGCTGTTATTGTATTGTACATCCACTGTGCATCTTACATGTTAAAGAGCGCTGCTCTTTTGTTATCAAAACTTTATTTAGAAAAAAAGACTTTACTTGAATAATGGACATCTAATTTAATAAAAATACTAGCAAGGTTCCAAATAAGAGGATGTAGTTTGGCCCATCTGACATGTTTGGTATCTTATGGCTAATAGATCTGAACATCTCATCTAGCTGTTTCTTGAGAGAAGCCGGGTGGGTAGCTTGTTCCATACTCCGACAATCCTTTGTGTAAAGATGCGACTGCTGTTGTCAGTTAAAAATAGCTTCCCTGAGGTTTCGTTTGTGTCCCCTGGTTTGTGCATCACGAATCAGAATTAATTCACTGGGATTCTGATCCCACAATGTTGAGTATTTGAATTCAGAATATTTTTCTCTGTTCAAGACTTGAATAATTCAGTTCTTTTTGCCTGTCAGCATAGGATCATTTTTAAACACAGAAATCTATCAGATTGGTTGGCCTTTTCTGGATTAGCTCCAGAGCAGCAGAATCTTTTTTGTTACATAGTAGCAAAATGTTACACAGGTACTCTGCGTTTATCCCCAAATTGTATCTAAATTATTCCCTAATTTAACTAATAACCTGCTTAATTGATCATAGTGCAATTGTTTTTTTTTTTTTAGAAATTGATTTAATGATCAGTGTAAAACTGGTTGAACATGCTATAAAACTCTTTAGGAGAACCCTTTTTTTACAGTGTTTGCTATTTTGGTTTCATTTGCAAGTTTGACAAGTATAGCCAATAATCCAGGATCTAGATCATTGATATACATTAGGAAGAGCAGTGCTCCTCGTGTAAACTCTTGAGCTACTTCACTAATCACCTGAACCAGAGCATTCAGTTTTTATTTC